AGGGGGTCGAGGAGGCAAACGCCAAAAAGTCAGCCAAAATCAGGGAAGCCGGGCGAGGGGGTGGAAAATGCAGGCAAAAACCTGGCCCTGTGGCCTCGGGCGGATTTGCTTTGAGCTAATGTTTTGTTTACGGTGCACTGCACGGGTTTCAGGTTTCATCCAATGCGCGAACTTTCCGCCGCACGCACCGGCTCGTACATGCAAGAATACTGGGTGCGCGAGTGTCCAGGCGCGAATCCAGAGCTTCCGTGCGTGAACCTGCCGTCCAGTGAAGCAGCTTTGTCCATGTGTGTCTCCACCGTCCCGGATGCGGATCTGAGTGCGAAAATGTCATCTGGTGATTAAGATTCGCGAATAGTTTGCACGAATCTGTCTCCTGCATCCGCCAGGGTGGTTTTTGAGCCATCGGCTTTCCGGCCACCGGGTCGGGCTAAACTTGTGCGCACAGGGCGACATGATTGACGCAGAGTGGTGCGCGAAGTTGGCAAGCATTCGGCAAAGTGCGGGGATCACGTCTGACCCCTCATCAGTAATTCGTTAAGCTGCCAGCAGGACAGATCGAAGCTGCTCGTAGAAGCCGTAGAAGGCCGAGTTATTGCTTACGGAGGGACACTCCGACGTGCAATGACGTCGGTCACGCCACTGCGATACGACAAGGGTGCACCTTCCTTTGGGCCAGTGTAAAGAAGAATAATGCTATCATCTTGCAGGCTTAAGCCGAGCTCTGTCGACTCGGGTTCCTTTTCTGCCCTAGCTTTCGTGGCTTGTCAGGCCATATTCCTCGGTGCGGGCAAGCGCGTGACAAGGCCGCTGGACGAAAAAGATGTTTGTGGCAGCTGTGTAGGGCATTCCGTGGCAAGTGCTAGATGGCAGAGCCAAGCCGTGGACACGTTCAGCATGCTTCTTGCATCAGGCCGGTTGGAAATGCTTTGGGCGACGCTTCCGCCACCGCGAAGGTGATACTTCTAATGCATTCTACCGATTGTTTGTTTCTGCTTGCTGGTCTCGATGCCGTCAGGGAGGTGGGCCAAGCATTTGCATTCGCCTGGGCGCTTTCGCCAGGTCGAGATTGGGAACGAGGAAAATCAGCAATCCAAGGCTAAGGCGGTCGCGCAAAGGCGTGCAAGCCCTTCGAAGTCCAAGGAGAAGGAGAAGAAGGAAGTAAAAGGTGCCTGGGGCCACGTGGTCGATGCATTGCGCTCGGAAAGGCCGAGGCCGGACCACGGCAGAAAGTTCTGAAAGGTTGCCATGAGCTGAACAGAGATGCTGCGTACCGTTGCGTAGCTGTGGCAGGTCAGCTTGGTGAAGAAGCTTCGCAGATTCTGCAGCTTTTTCGGCCACCGCCGCCACTAGACGACTACGCTTTTATACGATGACTGCTTGTCAAACATGATCCACGCAAGCGTGCATGCGACTGAGCTTCATCTCGGAGGCCCGGGGAAGGGATGATAAATGTGATCCTGCAGAACAGTGCTCCGACTGATTTGTGGTACTTCTGAATCTGAGTGACAGGACTTCTGCGGCGACAGGCTTCTCGGGAGTCGAATGACTTGGGTTGGAGCAGTCTTGAAAAAAGAGCTTCCTGGCCGCCTTGGCACCACCATGGCTATTTTCCTGACCGCCCGAAGAAGGTCAAGGGCCAGGTCCCGATGCTACAATGAAGCTCACCTGGCTAGATGTCGTTGCACCAAGCGGCTTGCGTTGAATCCTGCAAGACGATGTCGATGCAGGCAGACTGTTATGCAGCTGCAGCGAGAGAAAAGTCTTCCCGCAAGCTTGTTTTTATGCACTTGTCAGATGTTAGAAGCAATGCAGCACTGAGCGACTTGTCTCTGACGAAGCACGGCTCAGCCCTTCGGAGGGCTTTTGGTGGCCATGCCGACCGTTGCTAGCAGTCCTCATCTACAGGCCGCTCTCAGAGCGAGGAGCCGTTTAAGCTGCTTGTTGCCTTGCGCTGCTTGTCTCCTGGCAGGCACTGTTCCCACTACAGGAGGCGGGGCAGTTGTTGGATTTATGATCGGCAACCAGCCGTTTGCAAGCATGCTTCGGCAACCGGGGATTGCTGCAAAAGTCAGGGTCCTTCAAAGAAGAACCATGTCCTAGCGCTTCGGTGGAGGGTTGATGTGGTTGCCTTCGAGAACCTCGTGCCGTAAGTGGAGGGGCGCTCTGCTTGCCTGGTCATGGTCTTGCAGGATCCTGACGACATCAGCAATTTGAGCGATGTCGCATCAGTTCGTTCCTCAAATCTGCCTCCGGATGCCAAGATGGCAACACCGGTAGAACTCAGCCGAGGTGGTCTCCCATATGGCAGGCGCCATCGGCAAAGGGTTCGACTCGCAAATTTCTTGACTTTTCCCACATCTTCCTCAGCAGGGTTATTTGATCTTGCCGTGGAGTTTTCCAGTCAGCGTGCTTATCTCGCCTGGCAGGAAGCTACATCGGGAGTGTCGCTTGGATTCGCATTTTCATACTGGCCAGGAAGGTTGTGAAATATGTGTCACTGAAAGTAGTCGCTCGGCCTCTCGCGCTCGTCAATCATGTCGAGCGCTTCAGGTATCCCAGTTTTCAGACACGAAAGGCAGCCTTCTGTCGGCTGCGCCCCCAGTTTGATACATTTTGATTCGGGAACGGTGGGAAGGGTTTGACTGACTGATAACATGGTGCTTGGAGCTCTCGACACATGCCAGTCCAAGCAGATGTCCGCTTTCACTGCTCCGCCTGGGACCCCAGACATTCGGCTGACGATGTCCCGGCGATTGGAGTATGCTGCGTTCCTTTTGCAGTACCCTGGCACACAAGTTCTAGTGGCACAGCCTGTGCGTGGAGGCCGCGATACCGCAACAGTGGGGCCTTCGTGCATGGCACGAAATTCCTCCACTTTGGTCCGATCATGGAGCAAGGTGCGGCTACATGCGGCTGGTGGCAGATGTCAGGGCACCAGGCGGTTAGCCGCTGGCGAGTGCTGAAAGGACTGAAGGCGGCCAAGAGCGAGATCTTCATGATCGACGAAGTCCGCCCGGACGGCCGGGTCGGGCTCCCGGGCTCGGGCTGCTGCCGGGCTTCCCGCTTCGATGCTGGCGCTGCGCTGCTTACGCTGCTTACGCTCATGCTTCTGCTTGCGGGTGCTTTCGAGCCTCGAGGTGCCCGGCCTGAAGGAAGCGCCCGAGATTTTGATCTTCATCGACGAAGTCAAGGACAGCTTCGTGAAAACTTCCGTCCATGGCACCTCAGACCGCCAGCAGGCCCGCAGTGAGAACATGGAGTTCGACTACGATGTCCGGGCCATGTTTGCGTTTCAGCCTCTTGCCACTTTATTTTGGCACTTCCGAGGCCAAGGAAGGCACCTGGAAAACCCGTGGCATTGACGGTGTGCCGACACCCTGGAGGGCTACCATTCGCATCCCCGCACGACATGCCTGCCTGCCCCTGTGTGTGTATAGGATCGGAGCAGTGGGTGGCTGAGAGCAATGGCCCTGAGGATCCGTCCATGGTTCTTCCAAAAAGTCGTGGATCAGAGAGCTGGACCAGGCCAGGCAGGCAGTACGACAGTGTGTCCCAAGTCTGGAGTCTACGCTTTGCTTTTGCTCGAACTACGGTGCTGTGTGTGGAACAGCTCCCTTCCGATTCTGTTCCAATGTCCCGTCAGGTCGAGGAAACGTCCTGTTCCAGTCCAAAGAAGATCCTTTGATGCAGGCGGGAGCGTAAGTGCTTCTTGCGTGACAAGCATGGGAATGGTGTGAGGCCAACAAGGTCCCAAAGGTTGTGCGGCCAAAGTGAGAGGCTTAGAATTCTAGCCCAGCTCGCGTCGCTCTCTTGCTGGAATATACCGACGGAGCAGACCTTGGCTTCTTGGCTCAGGTATCTTTTGCATGCGACTTACTGGGAGAATGTGGACGGCATTCTTCGAGAAGGCATGAATCTAGAACAAGCGCAATTAATCAGTTGCGTGGCGTGTCTGAAATCAGGAGCGCGGTCTTTGTCTTTGTGTGACAGAGGTGAATGTGTACTGCAACGGGTAAGGAGAATTCTGGCATGCCAGCCTCTGCGGTTTCGAAAAGTCATCGGTTCCGTTTCGAAAAGTCATCGGTTCTGTTTCAGTTACAATGCTAAAGATGTACTGTATGTCTTCGTGGCATAGGCAAGCATTTGGAGTTGCACAAGTGGCGACCGGATACTTGTATAAACAGATTCCAGACGCTCAGCCAGAAACGGGCAGCTTCCTTGTACCCCTGAGACCTGCAAGCATCAAGACACCGCAGTTTCCAGGTTGCCGTGCGAGCCAGCCATGTTGGACTTCGAATCTTCTATTTTCTGCATCTTGTTGTTAGGGGAGCTTGCTCTGGATTTCCCGCCTTTCCATCGGTGGCAACGTTATGCAACGCCCCTCCTTTGTGGTTTCCAGTCGAAGCTGCGTGATGTAGCTTTGTCGCGGAGTGATGTGAAGGCATCGTGCCGGCCAAGAACCCCCTGTCCAACTCCAGACACTTGGCAATGTTAAGGTGCCAGAACACTGGAATGAGGCGAGGACGAAGATGCAAAATGCCCTTCTGCTTTGGCAGTGCCCAGGAAGACCCTTCAAGAATTTGCTTCAGGGTGCAGAGCTTGACACCCAGCTATTCCCGTTGTGAGTCGGCGCGACCTCTTGAGCTCTGGGCACCCGCAGCCGCAGGTCCCACATCTACACCCTTCGCGAGCCTGGCCTGCCTTGTGGCGAAACAGCTGTTTCGCGCTGCTACTCCGGATGTGCTGTTCTGCACCCGGGCTGGAGATCGGCCTCATCTTGGCAAGCGCCGATAACTTTCATCAGTCACTCTTTCATGCTAAAGAAGCTGAGTGTGCCCCGCACTCACTCGTGCGAGCCTGCTCCAGTTGTAGCTGCACTGGCGCTTTTGCACATAGGCTATGAGAGAATGCACGAAGCTTCAACGTTCACTTCCAACTCTTCCTCGGCAGGTGGTGGCCAAAGTGCACCGAAGTTTAGGGAGGACGCGCCTCAGGACTGCTGAATTGAAGCTGCACGCACTGCCGGGGCTTGCTGTTCATCCACCTATTTATCTATCATTGCCCATCTATCTGTCAATCTCTTGCTTAATTCTTAAAAAGAATATGTTCTAAGGTATATATATATATATACACATATATATACACATACAGACGGGACTGCCATGGTGAAATGTGTGTACATATATATATATATAGATGTATATATGTATGTATGTTTGTATATACACATGTATGTATGTATGTATGTATGTATGTATGTACGTATGTATGTACGTATGTATGTTTGTATGTATGTACATACACATACATATCTCCCTCTCCAGCTCCCGCTCCCGCTACCTCACTGCTGGCTGCCGGGCGCGTGATGCGTGTCCACTGTGCGCCGCTTTGCAACAGGAGCAGGAGCCCAAGCAGGGCCAGGCTCCGCATTTTGCTTCGTGTTTGTCGTGATAAGAGAGAGGCATAACACACGATGACTTCTGCAATTAGGGAGTATTGGCAGACTCTTTGAGTTAGGTCCCAAATTGGTGACAGCAATGCAATGTAGCCGGGGGCGCAGGCTTCCGCATTCTTGGTCGACGAGGACTCCTGTATCAGGTGCAAGAAGGAAATCATTGAGAAGCGCGGAACAGGTTCAGATTCGGACACAGCGCTGCCATACTTGGCTACAATTTTCAAGACAACTATCTATGTTAAATGGACTGCCGCTGTCTCCACTACCTTCGACATGCAGCTTTCCTGATGGGCAGCCGTGCGAGATCAGGACCGCGCAGGTCTTGACAGACGGCCAGATGCAATTTTCGTCGCTTGCCTACAGACTCAGAGTTTCCGGGAAGAGGCGTGCCCGGACAGAGATAGAGTCGAAGCCAGAAAGTTGGAACATCATTATTCTCAAGCCCTTACCGCAAAGTATAAGGGGTCCGAGCACTGGTGATCCTCAATCCATGTTCCAACTTTCGGGGTTCACTAAACACAGACATAGAATCCAGAGAGCAACACCTATTTTCCCAGGTCATCGACACGAACAAAGCAAAGGATTTGGGCATAGACTTAGAGCTAGCCGGGAGCCCAGAGGCTTCCGCCGGTATGCATTTGAGCTGCTTTTGCATATTTTTCATGCGGCAGGTCGAAGCAAGTGTGGGCGGAGTTGTTGATTGTTTGGTTTGATTGATACATTCGTGTCGATGTCAAAGCCTCACAGGACCTTTGCAATGTGAAATGCCAAAATGCAATGGTTTGGAATCTGCCCGCGTGTTGGATTCTAGCATTCTTGCGAGGTTCAGTCGAGCGACCGAGAGGACA